ATGTCAAGCATTGAGAATGGGACCCGAGATGGTGGCGACCAAGAGATTACATTCTGCCTCAACCTTCCGCTCCCAAATCCCGTCACTTCCCTTGAACGGTTGAACCCGGCTTCTCTCCCTCAGCCTTCCGTTTCTACACCGCACTGATTGGCGGTGAAACCAAAAGCCGACCACGCCGCCCGCGTTACGCCCCCCCGACTGCTGCGACGGCGCCTCGGGGGATCGACGCATCCGTCCGCCGGTGCCGGTGCCGGCGCCCGCCGCTGGAAAGAACAGCCCAAAACGTGTGAAGTCATTCGCCTAGCGAACATGAAGTGGTGCATTTGACCTCATTTGGCCCATTTGCGACACATTCCGGGACACTGGGGCCAACACTTGAACTCCACTCGTAAACGGTCAGAAGATCTTAGAAGCCAAGTGATGCTCAGTCCGACTCCTTCTCAAAGTCCAAGCCCTTCGGACTCCCTGTTGAACATGGAGGTGCAGCTGCACCCCGTAAAAGGCCGACTGCGCGACCTCTGGGCACCCCGAACTCCACCGGAGAAGGCTTCCTTGCGTTCCATTGGGCGGCTCTCTTTGGAGGGGGGGGGATGATGTGACCTGGACGGCTCTCAGACCCCGTCCGCCTCGTTTGGACGCGGGGTCCGACCCGTCCGCTTCATCACCCGAGACGTACACCGAAGGATGGTTTTCATGATGCTTCTCATGGATCGAAACTCAGATCCTTTGACACACTGAGAGTGGACAGAGTAGAGAGAGATGTAAATCCTGTATGTCATGGATCTGTAGATCCTTCATTTTGAGTGTGGAGAGTCATAGTAGATCCTGTCCCTCCATACGTTCTAGCTTCTAGCTACGAACATAGCGATGCACCTGTTCCCAAGAGCGATGCACTTTGTTATTAGCAGCTTCTTGTTACTAGTAATAATGGCCTCCAACCTAATGGCGTAGTCCAGCTTCTTGTTACTGGTAGCCTTCCTGTTATTAAGAAAAGACCTCCGAAACCTTCGAAACGCCGCCGGCCTTGCCCCGCCATCCCCCGCCTCTCGGCCTCGCTCCGGCGCCTCCTCACCGACACCACACGCCTACCCGGCGCGTTGCGTGCGCGACGTCTGAGATGGCGTTCAGAAGAACTCAAGTGGCTGAGAATACCATGAGAGGAAGGCTTAACAAGTGGCCACTTGTTTTGATTCTTCTTTTGGCATCCAGCTTGGACATTCTGAGACTGTCCTCAACTCGATCGCTCTTGAAACAAGAAAGATGCAAACGCCGCAGTCTTCTTCTACCACGATTTCATAGGTTGGCAACCTACAGCCCATCAAGAAAGCATTACTTGCACAGTGATTACAACACTTCTGAAGTTGTACCTATAGCTCAGCATCATTTGCATCATGGCGGGCCAACACACACTGAAAAACCCAAACTAGCAGCCTACAGGCCATTAATAAGGAAGCGCCACTTGTGACAACACACTCTATTAAGCTGTAGGTTGACAACGTGCTACATCCCATCAAAGAAGCACAACTTGCGATAACACGTGCTGAATAGTACTAACGCATGCTGCTAAGCCGTATGTTTACCACACACTCATATTTGCAGGTTGGCAACCTACAATGTATCATGCATGTATCATTTGCATCATCGTGGGACAACATACACTGTTGGAGCTGTAGGTTGCCAGCCTACAGCCGATCAAGAAAGCACTATGTACTTGCGCGGTGAAGTACTCGCCTGCATTCTGCTGAAGTCGTAGGTTTACAACCTAGGCCCTAGCCGCCCTAGCCCTATTTTAAACAAGAAGCTACTAGTAGCAAGGACGCTATTACTACATGTGTTTCTCTTTTGGACCTGTATGCATCTGCATGGGAATCCAGTCGCCTCCCGCCTTCCATCCACCCGAGCGCGGTGCGCCGAGGGCGTGCTCACGTCCGAGTGGATCACGTAGTGCTCGGCCTGCGACCCCCACGGCGAAAAACCATGACGCGGTGCGGGTTTTTGAGGCTCTTCAAGTCAACCCGCTAAAGCCCGACGTGTTTACGAAAGCTCTCTCTCTGCACACCGATCGGACACCTCGTGTTTCCGGCCAACCCAGTCCAGCCCTCATGACCATCCCATCTCATCCGCCACCTCCTTGTCCTTGGGCAACGTGATCACCGGCACCGGCCGGGCGCCCGCGCCGCCCGCGCCGGCCGCGGGGGCGGCGGGTCGAGCCGCGCGGTGCTGAGAGCGAGCTGCGGTCGCCTTGCTCATGAGGAAGAAACGGGTCGGAGCGTGACACGAGAATTGTAAGAAGTCCTATCTATGACATGAAAAGCCTATAAGGTGTTTTTGTCCATGCTTTTCCTCTGTCTGAAAATCTGTCGGTGTCAAACTTGTGAACGGCTTCATCTTGCGCTTAGATCTTCTGGCTTCGATCTTCATCCGTTCTTCACTCATTGTGGCGATGGTCCTGAAAAACTCCATGTCTGCGGCACACGGCTGATGCACCACTGATGCCGTTGCGGCTGGTCTCTGGAGGCCGAACGGCATGGGTATCCACCCAGAAGACTCCAGTTCTTCCGGGTTCTGGTAATTCATTCCAATGAAAGAAGAAGAACGTCCCAAGGTTCCTGAAAACTGCCTTTATCGCATCAGAAGTGGTATCAAATGTTCCACTTTAGATCTTCTGCCGCTCTTCCGGCCGGTCGAAGACGACTCAAGATGGCGGGATCGGGGTGGTGTCAGATGACCGGCTCCTGTGACACGCTCCTTTACACACCTGGGTGCTGACAAAGACCTTACCTCTGGGTGGTTAGGAAGATGTTGTACTTTCTCGCACCCAGGATTAAGGTACCTGGAAAACCTGTCAGCTGAGCGGTGGCCTTTCGGTTTCTCTGTTCTTCTTTGGTGGCAAGTCTTTGAGCAGGGCAAGTCACACCAGTGACTTCTTTAAATGGTCAAATCCAATACCCCACAAAAGTAGCCAAAAAAACAAACATCTTGCGAACATGAACATCATATTCATACCGTCATACCATATTTCTGCGTACTGTTAATGGGGGTACTTGAGCTGTCCGAAGCTGAAGTTATGCGACACCCCTGCTAGACTTGCCCAGCTTGAAATTTGAAACTGAAACCTAGGCGAGCAGGTCGTCAACCACTCACTAGATCAACGAGTGTCTGATCCCTAGGCCTGTGCAAGGAGAGTGCCAGCTCTCTCGAGTCAAGCACCTGCCCTCCCTGCGCCCTGGCGAGGCTGAGCCACATATTTTACGAAACAGCTGTCGCATCGAAGGGGCTTCATGTTCGTTCTCGCGCTGGTCTTTGCAGCGGTGGGGGGGGCTGGTTTTCCGCATAGTCACATTTGGGTAGCTCACAAGTCGTGTATCCAGGAAACCCACTCCATAAATGAGGGTCTTTCTGTTCGAAGCCATCTCCACATGAGGTTCGCACTCACTCCGTTGGAAAGGATGCCAGATAAATCCTCCCAAGGTGGTCCGATCAGCAGTGTTGCGAGAAGCAGATGGACCTCAAGGGCAGCAAAAAAAACAATCCATCGAATCCCATGTGAACGTCCCAAAGCGGCACGTTCTCAACGAGGGTTCTCCTGCAGCTGTTTTCTTTTTTGCGCGTTCACTGATGTGCTGGTGAAACACCTGCAGTGCCATTGCAGCAAACATATGGATATAGTCTAGTCCATGTCAACACCTGTCAACACCTGTCAACACCTGCCCACCCGGATCACTTGGGTTCGGTCTTCACGCTGGGATCGCTTCGCGACGTGTGGCGCTGACGTCTTCGGGTGCCGTGGTGTGATGAAGGTCTTCGGGTGCTCCGCACAGCGCTGTCGGACGAACAAAGGAACAAAGGAACCAAGACATCGTGGGGACCCGTGTAGAGAACTGCACAGAAGTCTGTAGTCCAAGTGAATGGAACCCCCTTTGAACAGGGTGCTGCAGCTTTAGAATCCATAATCCTAGGAATTGAAAGGATTGGCAACGGGCAAAGTGCCCGCCAATGGTTATGGATTCCATCTCGGTGAATCTTATTGACACTGACCAACGCTAGGAAAGAAGAATGTTGCCATTCTGCCAGGTCCTTCCCTAACACTTTGTTGATCCCCTATACTTGGATGATCTTGATGCGTCAACCAAGATCCAGAAGAACTGAAGCATGCCATCAAAACAAGTGTCCTCTCATTCTTAAACACTTTGACTTTGGAACCAGGTTTCTTCAACTACTTACCCATCATGTCATGAGCACAGAGGAGATGCTCAACTCAGTTTGCAAAGGCACGCAGGGCCTGCATGATGTACACATGTGAAACGAAAACGGGTGAGACAAACGTGCTGATGCCACCTATGCCCTCATTGGAATGCGTTTTGGCATACCGTCTGAGGAGTTTGTTCTGCAAACCTTGAGCATATGAATACACAATCACGGAGATGATGCCAATCTTGGATAAACCACACGAACGGAACGAAACACGAGACTTCGGAAGGCAGACCAGCTGGTGTGGACTTGGCTGTCAGACTGAGCTGGAAGTCTCTGACGTAACCAATGGCCGGTCAGACCAATCGACGGCGACCGGAAAACAAGTGATTTAGATATGTCTGACATGAAACATTCCAACATCTAACAAGAAACAGGTTCTTTGCCCAAGGTTCCAAATTCACGTCATGAAACAGGTTGCCTCGGACGGCAGAATCGGGGAATCTTTGACATTCACAAGACCAACACAGCAGTCGGAAGCGAGTCTGGTGTAGCAAGGGTCATTCATGCATTTATAGGTATGGGTGTGTATCAGAGGGAGAACACCAGACCTTGAGCACAACTAGATTGAGAAATTGTATGACCAGTTCTTTGCGGAAGACCCCTGCCTATTTCAATACACACCCATACACGCATGTACCTCTGAACCACTCCGTGTACTTCCAGCTGTCCACGGTTTTCATGTGAAGTGTCTGAAGTAATTATCTCCACACCAGACACGAAGCTGCGCATTTTCATTCACAAGTGGTTCATCTGGGAGATGGTGAGATGGTCAATGAGTGGGCTGTTGATTCATCACTTCCCTGCCCAAAAGCACCCATCTCGACCCTCAATCAGAGAGAAAAACATCCCTACCCCTCGAAAGGGCCGGGCCTACCCCCCGTCAAAACGGGCTGCCGTCGGTTCTCCCTTCCCCAAACGGGAACATCTCATGGGCCTCAATGCGCCAGGCTGAACAAGCCGCCCATATAGCGAACCTGGCTGCGAACAGAGACAGAGAGAGAGAGAGGGAGCACGCGTGAGGCAACGCCGCCTCCTGAAGAAATCCCCACGGACACAGCAGTTGTCAATGTGACTGTTAAAAGCCAGACAGCGTGTATATAGAACCAAAAAGCCTTTAAGGAATAATATGGAATAATTAGTAAGATTCTCTGCACCGGAGGAAAACAACCTCGTTTCCACACCTAAAACAAAGCCCCAGACAGAAATTGGTAAGTTTGGAAGCTCATTTGCCTTGCGACATGTCTGGACTCGGGGAATGGCATCCCGTCTCAGAGCCGCATCAAAGTGAGCCTGGAAGTGCTTGAATCTCATGCCACAAAAAAAAATGACTTGGGCCTTTGTCTTCCGACTGTTGAAGTCAACTGACGAACAGCAGATGAAATGGTCTTCCTGAGGCATCGCCCCTGGTGTTCACATGCGTCAAGCACTGCGCCGCGATCAAAACCGAAGCCAACGATGCGCACGAGGATCGATATGCGCTCGCGCCCGAACTTCGAAGCCAACGTCGCGCTGAAGGGCGAAGGGATCCGAGGCTCCGAGGAGCAAGTTGAGTGAGCTCCCTAGGTAAGTACATGTCCTACACAAACCTGACTTAGTTGCATGCCCTTCTTGGAGCTTGGCATGAGACTCTCCCAAATTTGGGCTTTGATTTAGACCTGCATCGCTGGAATGTAAGAACTTTCCGCTCACCAATTCGGAGTCAAAACACGTTTCCTTCGACCTGGCCATCCCTCGCGACCGATTGATGTCATGCACAAATTCTATATAAAACCGCCCAATCGAGTAAAGGATCATATAGTTTGCTATTCCGTGGGAGGCCATCGTTAGTAGAAACAAAGAAGCTACTAGTAACAAAGGGCATCGCTACGAACGGAGCAAGGACGCTACTAGGGGCTCCTGGCCTTGCTACTAGGAACAAGAAGCTATTAGGTGGGAGGCCATCGTTAGTAGAAACAAAGACCACCGCGTTCCGATCTCCGCCTGCGGCACCGGCCGAGGATGGATCACGCGGCCATCGCCCCGCTGGGCCTCCTGCGGTCGGTGGAACCGAGCTGTCGGTCAGGACCTGTAGCTGTAGGTCTTCCATGATCTACACCTGGCGCCCTGGAAGTGATGGAGGAGGCAGGAGGGCGAAAAAAAGAAAAACGGTTCTTTGTGAAGTGCCAAAAAGAACAGGTGGCGCGACAACATTCAGTGAAACATGCACATCACTTCAGCAATCCACAAAAAGAAAACAAGAGGTTGCGTCAAGCACCGTGCACCAAAACTGCTCTTACCAGTACTCTCCTGTTGGATCATCTCGCGCTTCTTCTGATCGTAGAACTTCTTCTTCACTTCCTTGCCAGGGGAGGGGTGGCAAGCGATATGAGACTTTCCATTGTGTCTGTCATCTTTGAACCTGAACAAGTTGGATCTATAGACAGATTCCTGTACGAAGACTCGTAGATTCCCTGACTTTCTCTGAAATCACTAACCAACCCAACTGCCAGCGTAACCTAGAGAAAAGAGCGAAGCGCAGTGAGTGCTACTCGGCCTTGGTTGCTCCAATCTACTGATCCCAATCAACCAACCACCCTGATAAGCCACACAGCCAAAGCCAAAACCCCCCCCACCAACCTGTTTTACAGGCCAAGCATCTTGAAGTTCTCGATTGAGCCGATCGATCTCGTCCTTGTAATCTGACACCTCAACATGTCAGCCGGACGGGCGGCTCTTCGCTTCAACGTGAACATCGCCCACGGTGCTCACTCGCACGCGAAGAGATGGCACGACACAAAAAGTGTCGCCCACTTTGCTTCCAGTCCAGGTTTTTACCAGTCGATATTCACTTGCGCTGTACATCCAGCATCGAGCGCCGAGCACCGTTCTCTGCCCAACGAGACGTCGAGAGATCGAGACTCCACTTGCGTTCAAACGAAGAAAGCGCCCCCCACCCAGGGGGAAGTGCCTGAGACTGATAGGTCTGGAGCTCACCCTGCATTGCTTTCATCTGCTTCAGCTTGGAGTTGTACGTCTCCTGACGAACATTCTCATCCCCGCACGACGGCGCGCGTTCAGACCCGGACGTGTGCCTTCTGCCCGGTCGTTCGGCAGACGTCCCCCATCTGGGCCGACCAAATACGGGACGTGCTCGCGACCAGAGACGTCAAAGAGAAAAAAGAACGTCGTCGAAGTGGTTGGGAGAATAGACAGTAGCCCCTTGTTCCTAGTAGCGTCCTTGCTCCGTTCGTAGTGCCCCTTGTTCCGTTCGTAGCTTCTTGTTCCTAGTAGTAAGGCCAGGAGCCCCGTTCATAGCGATGCCCTTGTTCCTCTTTGGATAGACGTCGTGTCGTGTCGTCTGTCCTGTTTTGAGATGATACTCCACATGCCCTGCTGGCTCCCACTCAGGTCAATACGACCATCTGGCATCCCACAGTTTCGCCCACTCCACCGTGTGAGGAGAAACAGCAACGTCTGAGTTACCAGGTGGTGTGGGAGGGACATTTTTCTAGAAACATCGTCAATTTCGAGGAGATTCGCTAAACCATCTAAAACCACGTTATCCAACCCATCCAATTCCAGACCACCCTGTCCTCTTCCTGCATTTGTGGCAATGCTTTCTCACACCCATGGTAGGTCCCGCATCATTACCCACAGGCTGTCCGTGAAACTTTTTCAGTACCCTTGAGGTTCTGGTGCCAGTCCATGCCACAGTTTCGCTTGCCGAGTCCTCTTTCGGCATCTCCACCGATGTCGAGGGACTCGAGGGACTCGTGTTGGACTCGACTTCGTGAAGTCCAAAAGAAACACACCCAGCTCGACTCCCTTCGCAGGAAATCTGTTCAGTTCCGATGACTCGACATGGGCGAAAAAAGAAAACACCATGCCGCGCTCCTCGTGGAGCCGTGTTTTCTACGTGGCGCAAGCGGTTCGAAACCACCCGAACTCGCGCGCGCCAGTCGTGCTCCTGATACTGCTCCAGTTGCTCGAGCACTTCGGGCCCGGGCTGTTTCTCCAGGATGGCATTCAGCTCCTGAGGCTGAAACAGAAAAACTCCACAAAAACGGAGGACATGTACTAGTAACAGGGGCATGACTACTAGTAGCTAGAAGCTACTAGTAACATCTAGTAACAAGGCATCGCTACTAGTAACAAGTGCATCGCTACTAGTAAGGAGAAAATGGTCACCCAACGTCAACTCACATCTTGAAATTGTTTGGAGATCCTTTTGGTCAACAAGGGCATGGCTACTAGTAACAAGTGCATTACTATCAGTAGCCACAAGCTACTAGTAACAAGGGCATCGCTACTAGCAGGGAGAGGAGCGGGCTAACAAAAAAGCTTTGGTCAACTCTTGGGGATCCTTTCGGTCCCTTCTTGATTGCAACAGTTTCAAATTTGGCGTCACAAAGGGCAAATGTGAGTTGACGTTGGGTGACCATTTTCTCCCTCATGCGACACTCGTTGTGATACAAACCTTGGCTCCTTTGATCAGTGGCTCACAATTGGAGGGATCCTTTTTCTCCCATCTGAAGTGCCCTCCATTCAGGTGAAAGCCTAGAAACAACGCCCACCCAGTCAGTATGCCTGGAGCAACAACCCAAGTCTTGCCCAAGACCTGCTGTATTTGAAACACAACGACATGTCCAACTCAGCTCCACATGTGCGTTCCATGGCTGGCCTGGAGCCCGCAGTTCCACTCGCCTCCCCAATGGATTCCCATCCGCCTTGTGAAGCTTGTCTTTCTCTTGGATCTCGCTGTCTTTCACCACCACCTCTTCGGTCTTTGCAATGAGGCGCATCTGAAGACTCCGCACCTTCGGGACAAAGCGAAAGGAGAAAAAAGACCCGCCTCCGCCTTTTCTTCGTCTCCACTTAGAAAGTGCGAAAAACTCAGAAGGACCCCCTGCACTCTAAGGCTCGAGGAGAAAACGGTCTTCCAAACAGAGGGTCCTTCCAGGTCCATCCAAAAAACCTTCCAGGTCCCTTGCAGAGCAAGGGAAATGTGACAGTAGCAGTGTGCTAACTGCACCGTCCAGTGGGGAGGAAAGAGCAGTTCAGGAATGCATCCAGCAAAGTACCGAACACGAACGCATTTGCGGGATAGAGTTGAGGGTCAGAAAGTGTCCATCTTTCCTCGGTGAACGCTCGACAGTGCACGGCTGTCATGAAGGCCCAAGAAAAAGGTCCCGCAAAGCTCACCAACTCATCAATACCCACCCCGTCCAGCAGAAAGAGAACAAATCCTCTCACCTGCGACCAGAATCATCCGGGAACACCTCCTCTTTCTCCACTCTTCTTTTTTATTTGAAACAAGAAGCTATTAGGAACAAGTGCATCGCTACTAGTAACAAGTGCCTTACGAACGTAGAAACAAGAAGCTTCATCAGTCCGGGCGCGCCAGTCCGAGCGCGCGATCACCAAAGGCCCGAACAACGCTTCACCGGCCGGCCCGGTGCACCCGCCGTGCACTCGGCGTCGCGTAGGCCCGGCGTCGCCCCGCTCGGCCTTCTGGATGAGCTCGTACATCCCGGGGTCCGATCCCTCGAGCTTCCGCCAGCGATGCACGTTCATGGGGTTCTCCAGCTCTTCAGAGAGCGCACGCACCTGCGAAGGAACCCCTGGGAACCACAGCGGCAGGGCCCGAGCGCCCCAACAAATTTACCGGTGACTGCAGGACTACTGGGAAAGGTCGCCGCTTCTTTTTTGCCCGGAAGCAGAGGCACAAAAGAAAAGATTCACATTATGGTTTCAGATGGTTTAAAGTGTTGACCACTGCTGCTTGGGGCCCCAAAAGGTGACTGCTTCACCGCTTGCATCTAAACACTCTCCGCGGATGAGCTCACTCTCACCCCACAAGGACCTTGCTGCCCAGGGACCTTGGTTCGCTCCTGCAACAGCTCCCGTTGAAGGTGATAGACCTCCTTCTCAAGGCTTCCCGCCGACTCGGCCTCCGACTCAGGGAGCCGGAATCGTGGGTCCCACATCGGAAGGATGAAGGATGAAGAAGGGTATTTTTTGGTGGTAAAAGGGAAGAAGGAATGTGGGGGATTTTTTCATGTATCTCATATGGGATCCAAAAAATAAGGAAGTTCCATGAAAATGGTGGGGATTCTTTTAGACAGCTGCGATGTTCTCCCCCGGCGCTTCAGAGCTCTCGCTGCTTTCGCCTGCTGCCGAGCAATGAAGAGGTCGCGCTTCAGCCTGGTGTGGCCACCGTGCAGCGAAGCACAGGCAGCATGCGTGGTTTGCAGGTACTGCTTGTGGCCGCAGTTTGGGCCAATTTCGACACCCCTCATCCTTGGGGTTGGGAACCCAACCACGTTCCAAAGCGGAACTCTCGCGAGTTTTGGGGCACCATCCATTCCACTTCACCAAAAAGAGCATTTCACTTCTGATGGTCCACAGTAACAAGTGCCACGCTATTAGTAACAAGTGCCTTACTAGTAGTAACAAGAAGCTATATAGTAGTAACAAGTGCCTCCCACTTCTTCCACTTCCACTCCCACAGAGCTTGTGGGGACTCGTCGCCGACAACGGGTCACCTTCCCGACGGGACCCGGTGGAGCGAGTCCGCTGGGCTCCCCTGGCTCTCCGATGTCCGTGCGTTGCTCGTGGAGCCGATCCAAGAGCTTCCGGTACTGCACCTGGCGCAGCGCAAACGAAGCCGCGCGGGGAGGGTGACCGGACACGGAAGGTTGGTGGATGTTGGGGCAAGACAGGAGAGATGAAAGCGGAAGGTTGGTGGAGAAATCAACAAACATCTCAAACAGGGAGAAGATCAGCCAGATGTCAGCAATCAGTGAGAAGACTACAGGAAACCAAAAGTCTTCAGTGGTTTGAAAACTACTTTCAGGTGTCCTCATCTTAGTGTCTGTCTGTGTTGATCTCTTGTGGCTCAAGAGGATGTCTTTGGTAGACGACAGGCTGTGGTCCGTTCTTCTGTTCCTCAGGATATGTGGCAGTTCTTGCGGAACATGGCAGTTCCTGCAGCTTCAACCGGTACTCTCCCGCGCCTCGCCCTTTGACAAGGTACTCTCCTAGCAGGCCAGGCGGCGTCAAGGAGAAACAGCTCACTTGCTGGTCTCTCTGTCAACCACACAGGTGTCAACCACCACAGAGACCAGCAAGAGTCTGCAGAGGTGTCAGGTCCGGTCCAGGACCAAACGCTCCAGTCGTGCCGAGGCCAGGCATCGTTCCATGCTTGGTCCGGTCGTTCGTCGTTCCAAGAGATCCGGTTTGAGGTGTCTCATCATGTGTTCTATCGCTTTGGAGTTCGAAACCCAACATGGAAAAACAATCCGTTTGACCCGACATGTAAAAAGCAGAATGAACACACAATGATGAAGGAAACCATCTATCCAATGGATGAGAGCTCTCTCCTGGATCTTGATCTTCTCGTAGATCAGTGAGAGCTCCTCATTCCGCCGGATCAGCTGCTTCCCCAAGATGTTCCGCTCCGCCGTCACGGCCTCCGGATAAGGTGCCGCAGCTGAAGACAGAGGACATCATACATCGACCAGTATCAGAAGCAACCAACTTGGGGGCTAAACATGGGTAAACAACCCTTTTTGTTCACCCACAGAAAAAGGAAGGGGGGTTAAGACTTGTCATGTTGACAGCTTCTCTTCCCAGGTTCTTCGAAGCCAGTTCCGCCCGAAAACCCCCGCCTCAAACTCCTTCCGCTGGTTTTGCCGCTCGGATTCGGCTTCCTGGATGGTCGCCTATCCGGCCGCGCACGGGCCCCGAAGCGGAGGTCGGTCCGATGTAAGACGAGCCCCGAATCGGAGGCAGAGAACTATGGAGTGCCCCAAATGATCGAGCTGGCCGCCACTGGCCAACGGGAAAGCATCGCATCTTACTGGTGAGGTGACTGCTCCTTGGAAACCGAGCCATGGCAGACGTCCCACATCTGCTTTCTCACATCGGTCCAATGTCTCTCCACCTTTCACATTATCATCCTGACCCTCATCCTGATCCGGACATCTTCGGATCTGGAACGTGTCAGTATATAAAGGCTTGGAGGGCCCTTTGGGGGTGCCCTTTGGCGGGCCCTTTGGGGGGTCAACCCTCCGAAAAGCCTCGGTTACACTTGAGACCGAGACCTGTCAACCCTCCACCGGTGCCAGGCACGTTCGGTCGGTCGCACCTCGAGCTTCTTGATATCGGACGATTGCTGCTCCACCAACTGCCCAGCGGAACCCGGGTGAAATAGCCCGGCCGACCAGAACGAAGGAGAATGAGAAGCGGTGGAGAAACACCGTCGTATGAGCAACTGACTATCTTTCTGTATCTCAACATACTATGCACAGTCAAATGTTAAGAAGTATGACGTTGGATAGGATTCTGATGCTTCTGAGAAGAAATCGATATGACTGTGTTGCCCCAGACAGTCGCAGAGCGACAGTTTGTTTGGGCAGTCTGCAGAGGGCGAGTAGACTGTCCCAGAGAACATCAATGCAACTATGTAAGTTTTCGACATGAAAGCTTGGTGGCAATGAGTCTGGTGCAACAGCCTGCTGTGCTCGGGTCTGTTGCTTCTCGTGGTACTCCAAGTTGTGCTTGGTCTTCTCTGTCTCCTGTCCACAGCGGCACAAGGTCCCGCAGCTGTAAAAGTGGAGTGGAGGATGGCAACATCAAAGGAACAAACTCAGGCCTTCAAGGAATATGGACATGTTGCACTATGTTGCACATCTAAATACCCTACACTGACCTTGGGACCCACGTGACATGTTGACATGCTGATCCCATGACCAGGTCCGTGCATCACGTCCCGGACGCACGATATTTGGATCTCTCAATCACCCAAGGTTTGAGAAGTTCTCGATGCATCTTCTAATATTATTCTAGAATACCGAACTAGCATGTCTTTGACCTGCCCCAGTCTCACACACTCTTAACATCCCACAAGCATCACTTGGACATGTGTCAGAGATGAATTAGGGAAGGAGAAGCAGGTGAGGACCTGCACACCCTTGGGCATGTGCAGCTCAGAAGCAGGTCACATGCCCAGTCCTTGCTGATCCCCTGGTGTTTGAAGTGCTCCGCAATCATCGCAACATCCTTCTCTTTGATTTCCTCCTTCAGCTGCTCAATCTGATGGCACATCACCTGCCCAATCAAAATGGTCTCTTGCATAAGAAGCAGCCCTCAGGATGTAGCCCGCAGCCCAGTCGGAAACAAATGACTCGATCGGACGGAACATGTTCCCACTTCTTCCCGGCGGAACATGCCACGAAAAGAGTGTTGCTCATGAATCATACAGAGCATCTCTGGGAAGTCATCACCAAAACATTTAGATCCACGGTGTCTAGAAACCTCTACAAAAAACCAAATCTGTATAGGGTCCTTCCCCTCCTCCAAGCGATGCATGACAGTTGTACTCCAATGTCGGGAGACGCCAACTAGCGATGGCCTTCAACCCCACCCTAAGAGCGGCCTACCCCCCCTTAAAAAAAAACAAAAAACGCACCAAAAGAATTCGCTACAAGAAGACTGTCGCCCCAAGTTCACCGCATCTGTTGTCCGAAGAAGAATCTGTAGGTGCGAAGACTTAAAACCCGCACATCCCAAGCATGCCTGGTCAGGTATAAACACACGCACACAAAAAAAAGAGAAGCCAACCAACCAGAGTGGTCTTGAAACATCCAGATTCGTCCGAAAACCTCTTGGATATGTAAGGGAAACCTCCTGTTTGTTCAACGAGAGTGGCGGAGTTTCTTCGAGAGCACCTTGAATTTCTTCCGCATCTCGTTGATCTCTTCTAAGGACTCCACCAGGTTCTTGGAGTAGAGGTTCTTATCGGTCCGCACCGCCTTGGACAACGGGGGATGAGCACATGGCGGCAACCTCTCGATTCGACTGGCACCTGGGATCGAGAACAATGAACACCTGCACATGTGACCCACAGATCTCGGGAACACGTACCCAAATCGAGAACAACTCGTACGTACAGCCCGGTTCTGCTACTTTGGTCGCTTGTGCACCTGGGCCTAAATACATTGTGCTCGCTCGCGACCAACTAGGACCAAGCACGTTTCTACAAAACCAGCTTGCCTCATAGAGGTTCTTCTGCTGAGCCCACTTCGCCCGCACGTCGGCGATGCTCCTCTTCAGTTGCGCCATCTGCAACTCGCGGCCTGGCACATCGCGTCTTGTCGCGGCGCAACGTGTAGGCCGTGCGCACGGCATCGGTTCCCGAAGGCGGGCCGTTTGGGACGCACAGAAGGTACGTGGTTTCACAGTGATTCCCGACAGCAGTCCAATCTACAACGTCAATTTGAAATCTCAGAAAGAAAACTGCCCAGGCCTCGAAGCTCCTCTTGAGCAGCCTCACATCGCTGCTTTGCCTCCGGCTCGGTGAATCACTCAGAACCTCCTCCGTTTTGCTTTGAGAGGAACCCCCAAAAAGAGGAGAAGAAGATCTCCCGCACTGAAATGAAGAAGTTTGCGCTGTAGCATCTTTCGCATCTTTTCAGGATGTTTCATGACTTCATGTGTCCTCAGAATCCTCAGATTCTCTGGGGTTTTCCGCACCCTCCACGCGGCGCGCAGGTCGCCCGCGGAGCACGCGCCTGCTGCAGGTCTCCCGAGTACTTCTCCCGCTGGCGGTCGAGCTCGTGGATCCGCTGGAGCCTCGGGTGCTGCTGGTCGCGCTCCGGTGGTTGGTGAGGGAAAAGAAAGGTCTGAGACTGAAGAGTTCATGACCGGCCCTGCCGGCCCTGTGGACAACTGGCAAGTGGACAACTGGCACAAAGCATGATTCTAGTGAGAAGAAATGGTGAGATTGATCGTTTCTGAACCGAAGCTCATTCCGAAAGGAGGATTTGGAGAGAATCACTTCTTTCAACACTTCCAAGTCCGAAAATTGGACCACTTGGTGGAAAGTTGCTTGACCTTCACATCCGAAATCTCACCAATTCCGATGTTGCTGGACCTTCTCGCGACCTAGCTGTTCGTCGAGTCGTTGACGCGCGACCTCCCTCGCTTCTCGTGTGGCTTCAGGTCCAGACTTCAGATCCAGGTCGGACTTCCAGCGATGGAGGTCCTGGGACATTCGGAACACACACCCGTCGTCCGTGGGTTTTCGTCCGAGTGGTGTGGCGATTCAGCGGCGAACGGCGCCGGAAAACGGCGCCGTAAAACGGGGGGTGGTAGTGCTTGGGGGTATGTTGACTGGACAGGATCAAAGCAGGATGACTGCAGGCCTTCTCTCTGGGGGGTTGCCAAGGTCCAGTCTTGAAAACAAATGATGTTCATGGATGAAGACATCCCACAAAGGAACGCCTCCATGGCAACATCCACCAGAAAGGATCTGAACCATAAACACCGTCTGGCGTCTGAGTCCGATTCTTTTTTTCTGAGTCCGATGCGAAGGAGGCGGACCGCGGGGTCCAAACTCCACCGGTTGGACTCTCCGAGTGTCGGAGGGTCCCCGAATCCGTCGGAGGGTCCTCGACATCGGTTCCGATTTCTACAAAAGCCCCATTTGTGGAGCGATCCGGTCCTTGGAGAGGGTCTGCGCTTGACCCTTGTGGAGATCCACCAGCTCCACCTGGCGCCCAGCCAGGTGTAAGTCGGTCTCACCGACCCAGCCAGGTAAATCCCTCAAGTACTCCAATCGTTATGAAACACTCCAACCACACACACATGTAACATGTAGATGATGAGGAACACTCCAACCACAAAGAGAGCCCTCGAAAAAAGGATCACTGTTTCTATGGAGCTCCCCCGTTCGGCCTTTTTTGATGACTCTTCCGGAAGCAAAGATGTCAGATCGAGAATTTGCAAGGGAAAGTATATATAAGGTGAGGTCTTCTTGAAACTTGCTTTTCAAGTATGTCTTTATGTTTAGAAAATTCCAACAAGGCCGAAGGCGCCTGCTGCTTCGAGCGTTCCTCGCCCTTCATGAGCGCCTGAAGAGGGTTGAGGTGTTGATTTCCATGTTGGAGCAGGTACTTGACGAGCGAAAAAATGATTTGATAGATCTTGATGGGACTAAATTGATTCTTTCAGCATCTTTCAGCTATGTTTCCTCATTTCTTCCTTTCGTCTTCATATCTTCATTCTTCCATGACTTCCGAGTCTCGCATCCCCCCATCCTCGCCTTCCCGAGGATGTCCCGCTCATGCAGCAAATCCGTGACCTGGACGGCGTCTGGACGTCCCCAGCCGTCGACCGCCGCCTCTTCGGTCGACGCACCACGGCACCGCGGACGGGAGGCTCGCCTGCTTCTCCTGCGCCTCGGAGTCTCTTTTCAGCTTCTCAAGCTCCTGGTGCGACCGGACCGGTTGGACCGGCCACCAACACCGGACACCAACACCAGAGTCGAGGAAATGGGACAATACGCTGGAAAATGGGCTCCGAAGCAAGCAAGCAAAAGGACGCCCTCCAGAGCCACAAACAACATGCGTGAAAACCAGCGCGGCGCTCTGATTTTCTTAGGGTGTGGGGTGGTTCATGAGACATGTTCATATCTCATCGGAGTCTCATCATATCTCCAGTCAAGCCATCGTTTCATGATCCTTTGTCAGCACTCTTCTAAAATGGTCTTTATAGGTGACCCGAATGTGACACTTTCGGTCCCAAAAACAGTGGACGTCTGGACTTCTAGGGTTTAGCCAACCCTTTTTCGTCGGAAAAAAGTTGCTCCCCAGCCATTTTTTCATGTCCGCACCTGACCATGCTACCTTGAAAAACCCATGGACCATCCCTTCATGCAGCTTTTTTCAGCCCCTTTTGATTCGGGACGAGGCCGGCCTTGCGGAGCTCGGAGACCTCGCCCCGCATCTGCGTGCTGCGAGCCTGGTCTCGGTGTGTCCCGGGAGGACACCGGAGATGAGACAGAAAACGACACGCCGACGGTGCGGCGCGACGTGCCGGAGAGGGCGACAAGGAACTAACCATGTTTGGAGGGCGAACAGATGGGCTCGAAACTGACTCTGTGACAACTGTAGCGGCGCGAAAATTCCTGGGTTGGTGCGTGTGTAGGAATATCTGTGATGCTGCAATTGAACACAGGTTTTAGGTCAAAGGCACGCTACAAAGTTGTTTTAAACAAAGAAAACAACAATAAAACCGACCAAAAGAGCATGCTAATCCCACCGTTTACAGAGGTGCAGTTTCACACACAAGTACTCAAACCGACTTCATCACTGCAAAGACTCAGGATTTCCTAAAGTCAACCTCCAACAGGAACGAGCAAAACCAAGACTCAACCAAAATCTGAGGAAATTTGTGTTTTTCACCAAAGACACGCAGACTTTCTTCACAGCTGGGCATGCCATTCAGTCTCTTCCACTCGCCCACAGGGCTAGTCGAACGCTCACGTGGGTGAGGTGCCTCCAGGCGTCGCGATTCAGCATCGTCCTTGTCTTTAAGGGCTTGGAGCGCCTGGGGCGGCCAACGAAGGGAGGGCTCCAACGTGGAGCAATCGATGTTTGACATGCAAAGATAGAAGCCTTGGTGGAGGTTGTTTGATCTGCAAGGCCCCGTTCTGATCGCGTCCGATCGCTACAAAAGTAGCGATGAAGACGGCGGTCGCTTGACCTTTCACCAACAACACCCAGCGCTTTCGGGACCCAACTGGAAAAACCCTGCCAAAGCACTCCGTCAGTGCGGACGACGCTGACTCCGTCAGCCCGTGTTCCGTGCAGCGGGTTTCGCGCCGGCGCCGGGGCGTGGTCGCAGCGCCTCCAAGGTCTTCTGCGTCTTGGCTTTGGAACTGCGGAGCGCATTGATCTCATCCTGCGCAGCGAGCAGATGGTGCGCATCTGATCTGAAACCAACCGAAAGCCCTGGTGTCATGCGGTTGGGGGGGGCCTTGTTTTGTTCACCACGTGGTCTGCAAAACAAAATCCCGGATCAAGAAGCAGGAGTTTTGGAATTGGCATCAAGAGCGCAAGTGGGATGACTACAGAGTCAGACATCACCTGAATTGATACAGGCTTGACAATCACATGTCCCGGAGAACTGAACAAAACCCTCCTGTCGTTTCATCTTGTCTCTCCATATTTTGATTCATCAGTTCTTAAGCAAAACCGCAGAGTTTCTTCTTTCCAGACCCAAGCAGCCCGGCAGGCGTCCCGGAATCGACTGAGACCGCGCCTGGCGGAACTTGAGCTGCGCCTTGAGGTCTTTCTGCTCCTCTTCCAAGCGGTTCTTGGCCGTCATCTCCTGGCGCAGAAGGAAGGACGGGTGTGTTCCACAGCCCCCCTGACCGGCTAAGAGAAAGCGGACGGTGATCTTTGGTCCTCACTCTGGCCACGGCGTGGCGCGGCACTTCACTGCTACTCTAGTTCACGCAGAGACTTGGAGCGCCCCCGGCCTCGCGCACTTGCTTGTCTAGGTGCTGCGCATTTCCATTCAGCTGGGTACACCGAATCCCCAGCCGCTCTTCCTGCGCAGGATCGACTCGATTTCCAAACCGATCAACTCGTCCTGAACAACGGGGCGGCCGGCTCCGAATGTGTATCTCCCGTGCAGGTCTTTGAGAGTAGCTCGGTTGCAGCCACTCTTCTTCCAGTGTCCTGCGGCCCTGCATCTAAATTAATGACCTTCATCCCAACAAACCTCACTGCACTCACTGCACGGTGGGAATGTGTGTGTGTGTAGAACCTTTGGAGTCACAAGGTTCCTGTTGGAGTGTTTGATAGGGACTTTTAAGCAGGGGGGCCATCCATGTGCTGTGAGTACATGCGGATATCACGGCTGATCACCGTGACGTACCTGCTTTGGTGTGATGTTTCCAAGCTGTGACTCTACTCTTCCTTAAAGGGCTAGTGCCCGCGGCAGACAAGAGCGCACGTCGTCATTTGGACCTGGTCGTCGCCTCGTTGAGCTTGAGTTTTGGCCTTTAACTAAAGGTGCCCAAGCCCCCATCTCTTGACCTTTCAGGATTCTGGTTCCTTAGGTTGCCGTGTGACGAGTGGCATTCCATGTCCTAAACAGAAATCCGCATTGGTTTTCAGGCTCCAGCAACCAGTCTCACACTAACTAGTAGAACATCGTGCCATATTACTCTGAAGTCTACCTGCACTTCAACAGTTTCCAACAAAACATGTGATTAGCTCCATTCCTCCTGCCACCTCTCGATACACCGCCGATTTGCCCGGCCATCGTCGTCGTGCCCGTGCGCCGCGCTCGCGTGCCCGTGCCCGTGAACTTGCCTTGCCTCCTGCTTCTCTTCTCTCAACACGCGAGAAAGGTGCTTTTGCACCTCCTTGGATCGAGAGCAGCGAAGGACAGGCGACCAGCGGGGGGGGTGAGGGGATCAACTGGACAAGCGGGGTGAGAGCATTTCACCGAAGTGGACTTTTCTTGCAACATCTGCTTTTGTAGAGAAGTCATGAAGGAATGTCCAGGTCAAGACGACATCCGAAGGTCTTAAAGATGGCGGGACCATTTCCAAGAACATGCACCGTTCTGACAACGAAGGACATGAACTGTTCTTCGACTTGGTTGCTTTGACCCCTGCCTCGCCGCGAGAGAGCTCTTCTCGCTTGGCATTCACTTCGCTCTGCTTGGCTTCTAAGCCTTGAAGGAGAGGTGTTTCGAGCCATTTCGGGCCATGACCACACACTGCGAAACGTCTTTCGTTTTCGGCGCTTGTGCCGGGGACAAGCCGACGCCAAGCCCATCCTTTCGAGGAATATATGCCCTCTTTGAAGGCTGCTACATGAAGGTCGGATGGACCCCAAAAAGAAAGGGTAGCTCCATGCTGGACTCTTGGATTGGAGCAATCCTCCAACTGCCACGCTGCCATCGTCGCGTGCCCGCGTGCCTTGTCGCATGTCTTTGAGCTCCTGTCGATGGGCGCCGACGCGGCCGGCGGCGAAGGCCGGACGGCCATGTTCCATCCCGATGTGTCCTCCGTTCCGTTGCGTTCAGAAACGCATGAAATCATCAATGAAATCCATTCCATTCCATGAAAGCGCCAGGTGTTCTTTGAGTCATGAAGGAAAAGTCTTTTCTTTCTTTCTGCCTAGTGCCTCAGGGAGGCTCGGCGCCTTGCTGGTCATGAAATCAGTGGAGAAAAAAGAAAAGCTGCGCACCTTGTCGAGCTTCTCTTTTCTTTTCTGCTGCTTGTCTGCTTCCTCGCCCATCGCGGGCGACGAGCTATTGGCTGATCCGCCGGTGCGACACGGAACCCCAAGAGGTGGGCGTTCTCGTCAGGTGTCCAGGGCAGGCAGAGGACATCAGCGCATTCTCACTGCTAACAGGGGAATGTGCGGAGCCATTCTTAGTTCAAGGGACCTCAAAGGAGGGGCCCAACAGTTATTCATCCTCCTGGCGAAACATTTATTATTTGCACCCAAAGGAAATCAAACCCTTCCCCAAGTCATGTAGTTCCCAAAAAATGGCGCTGTGTCGCGAGCAGTGTCACCAGCTCCAAAACACGTCGCCGGCTCCCGCCGTGCATGTCACACATCATGTCCGTGCCACGCACCGTCCGTCCCACGCTCCTTCCCACACGGCAACGCGGCTCATCCCGCCTCTTGAAGCTTCTGGAAGGACTCGCGGAGCTTCAGCAGCTCACCATTGCCCTGCAAGCGCTCCTGGAAGGAGGGCTGGGCGAAGAGCCGCCCAGAAGTTGCTCCAACTTGAAATGGGGGGGTTGGAAATGGAGTCGACTCTTCGTACGGCAAACTCTGGAGATCAACCGTGGCCGCCGTAACCCATGAATCACATGAACCGGTTGCCATCTTGTTTCACAGGTCGCAGTCCGAGCCAGAAAGTGTCGCCACGGTTCGCCGACCGGCTCCCAAGTTCCAACCACACGAAAATCAAGCGACTGGCCTCTGCAAAAGAAAAAAGAGAAAAGAGAATACCCTCATCAACCTTCAACTATTGAGGGCTGGATGGTGTATCCTGACCCTTTTTGTAGGTTGGAGGCCATCGCTAGTAGGTTCTCATGCGTAAAACAATCCATGGTTCATCCGACAGGGCCCAGGTCCTGCTCGAGCTTGGCAACCTTGGCATTGAGATCGGTGTTCTGCTGCTGCATCTGCTGAACCTGGTTCCGGCATCTCAACTGCCAACCAATGGTCATTCATCGATAACGACATCGACGGCATCGATACCAACACTTCAGGCACGGCGCCTGTCCCTGCAGCATATCCCGATGCTTCACCAGGTCATTCTTCTCCTCACGATCGAAATGATAGGAGGCTGATTCCAGCAAAAATAAACACAAACACACAGACCCATTGACAGGTCCAAGCGTTCAGGGTCGTCGAAACAAAACACCCAGCAAGTTACGCGTGAGATCGTGCAAACCCTTCGAGTCAGCAAGACGGTCTTAGAAGAACACCGATGTTTCTCAAGACAATGCGCCAACGTCCAAACCCCAGAAATATTCGTCCAACGTCCCCTGCGGAGACGTCGAACACCTCTGGTCCATCGCATGGATTGTGGACCAGTGCACTCCTGGACCAGTTGGTTCACCATGTTCTCCTGGTTAATGCTGAGTCCAGCGCCTGACCAGTCGCGCAAAGGCGCAGTGGCGGTGGGTCGCTGAAAGGCTTTGCTGAAGAGTATGATCTTTGCAGACTTTGTGGGATGACGAAATGTGCTCTGGAAAGAAAAACACCCCCCACTCTCGAGTCCCCCTCTCTGTCTGACAGTTCAGAAACAAGCACCTATATAAAATCTTTCCAGTCACCACCAATCCACAAAAACAGAAACGCAAACATATAACCATGGGCTCTGGCACATGTAGCACCAAACATTTCTGTCAAAAAGGCCGCTGGATGGCCTTGCTCGACCAGACGCCCAAGCTTGGTGATCTCGGACTTGAGGTTTTGGATTGTCTCTCTTGCCCTCTGCTCTTTCTCATGCGAGGCCTGACACAAGGCGAAGTAGATGTTTTGGAAGTGGATGTCGTACAAAAGAATCAGATCTGCAGTTTGCACACTTCTCCCACATTGCTGGCACAGGGTTGGCATGAACAAATGAATGCAGCTTCGGTTTAGGCAGGTGGGCTCTATCTCCTCAGATTGGAAAGCTTGCTCATGGCGAAAATAGAGAGAGCAAACCCAGTCGGTGGAAAACTCCAAACTTGGATGTCGCCTGTCCACTGACACTGTTGATAGAAGAAGTGATGCACTACCTGGAATTCCCAAACACAGCCAACGGGCACATCCCCATCAAGCTGTGGGCTTTCTCTCATCTTCACAGCGGTTTCCTGTGCCTCCACCATCTTCCAGGCACGCTCGATCTCCTTCTTTAAGGCAGTGATCGTCGCGTGGTCCTCCTGTGACAGCTTCAACGCAGTCTGCACCTGTCAGAGCTGCCGGGGATGGGGAGATTGGCAGATCTGCAACGTTCTCGTTGAATGAAGGAGTTGACGGGTTGACCGTCTATCATGGACAACTGGCTGTATAGTTGTCATTTTGTCAAAACAACCACCAAAAATGAACAGAATAGATTACCTGGCAAGTCAACCTACCCAACCTGCCCTGGTTTGGGGCTCCAGGTTTTGACCCACAGCCATGCTATATCTGAGTCCCACGAGCCGCTCTGCACTCAAAAGTTGCGGTCAACGCTTTTCTCCGCAGCAACGAAAAGATCGCTCCCCTCTCTCCGTCGGGCCTTCACGGCGTTCTGCACGATCTCTCCGTTGAGTTCGCGACACTTCTTGATGAGATGCTTCCTTAGGGGGCCAAGCGGGCATAATATTGACTCTTCTTTCACTTGATTGAACCTATATCTATATAATACATATACACATATAATTAGTACATATATTGTGAAGCTCGCAAGCTGTGTGATGACTGTCTCATGCGGTTCTCCTATGGTTCAATCCACCGAGAAGGGTGGGCGGGCGGACATCGTGATTACACGGAAAAGCGAGGGCGCTTCGTTAGGTGAACAGGGTTTTCACAGTAGATAGTGGTCTATCTCCAGTGTGAGATTAACATTGGTAGCGGAGCCTCCGCAAGGAGGCATAGGTTCCTTTTGGGTTGGTTCCTTTGAGAGTAATTCACCTAGGCGGGTGTGCATTTCAATCAATTTGTTTTGTTGCAAGACATTTTACCATCCATCATTTCGTGAGCCATGGCTGGGGCAGAAGGAAGTCAGACGGAAGAAAAGTCTGGCCACATTTGGAGTTTGCTGCCAGGATTTGATCCTGCCACAGATGATCCCCGAGAATATGCTGACAAGATCCGTTTCTTACACTCCATTTGTCCGGTTAAGGACAGGCCGATGTTAGCTCCGAGGCTCGCACTTCTGATGAAGGGCACGGCTTGGGCTCAAGTCAAAGCCCTAGATGGTACAAAGCTCTCTGATCCGAACGGTGGCATCAAGCTCCTCCTGCAGACTGTTGCTGATTGGGAGGACTCAGCTGAACTGCAAACCTACGAGAAGTTTGAACGTGCACTGTACAAGGTGACCCAGAAACAGGATGAGAGCGTGTTCTCCTATGTCAACCGGATGAACGTAGCATTTGCTGAGATCGACAAGGTGACGGTCCCTGAGATCAAGGCCTTCATAATGCTACGCCAGAGTGGACTTGGAGCCGAGGACAAGAAACGAGTCCTGGCTATGTGTGGGGGAGAACTTCGTGCCAAGAAAGTTGAGGACTCCATGAGACAGCTGGCACCTCGTGTCCTGGTGGGAACTACTGGGACGGAGCCGAAGAAGAAGGTCTATGCAGTCAACTTCGTCGATGACGATGAAGACATGCCGACGCCGGCCTATTTTGCAGATGAAGAACAGCCCATGGACGATGAGCAGGGAATCCAATTGTTGATGGAACAGGGAGATGAAGACGCTTTGATGATCACGGAGTTCGAAGACCAGTTGATAGAAGCATGTCAGGACAATCCGGATTTGAGCATGTGCTTCTCGGCATACACTGAAGCACGAGGCCGAGTCAGGGAGAAGATTCGTTCCCGCGGCTTTTGGCCACCAGCCAAAGGAAAAGGGAAGCCGAAAGGTTCAAAGAAAGGAACCTGGAATCCAAAAGGGGGTTTTCGCAGACGGCAATCGTTGGCTGACCGGATAGCCAACTCCCATTGTCGACTGTGTGGTGCTCGTGGACATTGGCGTCAAGAATGTCCGAACAAAGGAAATGCCGGAAATGCCAATGCCTCGTCGGCCGAGATCCATGTGTCGACTTTGGTAGGAGAAGGACCAGGTGATGAAGACCCCGAAGTTTTGGAACGACTGCCAATTTCACTTGAGCAAGCACTACCTGAGTGGTGGCCTGTGTTCAACTCGGAGGGCAGGATTCCGGAGCAGATGAACGAGACGATGTCCAACACCAACTTTGGCAAGAATGCTTCTGAGACCATGGATGACCGCCAGGTTGGGAGTCCGACAGTGCCCACAGAATTTTGTTGGGATTCTAAAAGAGAAACCCGTGTTAATGAAGAATTCATTTTTGCTGCTCTGTCTTTGAGAGACATGAAACAGACGTTGAAACGGGGGGTGAGAGACCTTACACTGGGGAAACGTGTCAGGAGTGAATCACCACCTCTTGAGCCGGTGTTTTTTGTAGACCACGGAAGCGTAGCTATCCTTGATACGGGAGCTAGTAAGTCTGTGATTGGAAAAAGGAGACTAGAGCAGCTGATTTCAAGTTTGCCGCAAGAGTTTGCCCGAAAGATCTCATGGCAGAAGTCGGAGACCATTTTTCGATTTGGAAATAATGGCACCCTTGCAAGCCTAGGAGCTGTGTTTATGCCATTTGGTAAAGGTTGGCTAAAGATTGAAGTGGTTGACGGAACCACTCCCTTTCTCCTCTCCAATGCTTTTCTGAAAGCTGTGTCGGCGGATATTTGCACTTCGAAACGATTGCTGTGCATGTTTCATGGAAAAGTAAGTGTTCCATTGACTGTGAGTAGTAAGGGACTGTTTTTGGTTGATTTGTTGTTGATTCTGAAACATGCGAATCAATTAGAGATGAATGGAAACTGGGAGGTCGTGACTAATTTAACTGATGAAACTCAACAAAGAAGTCGACAACACCCGGAGACAAACATGACTTGGACAGCAGACATTCCACAGTCACACACTCCTCCAGCAGCAACTCGAGTGTCAAGCACGTGCGAGCAATCTCCAGCCAGCCCCAAGCACTATGGCGCCCAAGAAGGTGATCACCGCCTATGCCTACGGAGGGACCATGGATGCGCCCCTGGCATTCCCCGAGGATGCCACGCTGGCGACGATTCCTTCGAACAGCGATGCAACCATCGTCAAACCACCAGGAGTGATGACTCTACGACAATGGGGAGAGCAGACAATGGGGGGAGGAAAGCATGCCGGGAAGACCTTCTCAGACATCCTGGCCATCGATGCGAGCTATGTCGAGTTCATGAAAAAGAAGAGCGATTGCACTTCAGCCTGGGCACTGAGCTTCCACAATTACGTCCTGGCAGTCGACAGGATGACCCAGCCAGAATCCATGGGAGCTCGTCAACAGGTGTTGACCCCACAGATGATCAAGATGACCAAGGAAGAGTGGAGTCAGCAGGGCGCAATTGTGACAGACTGGGATGTGATCGACGAATTGAAGAATCCACATGGCTCGGAAGTTCCGCAAGGAATCACATCCTTGGCAAGTGGGCCCATGACGGGAAAGAGGATGGCAACCAGCAGCGACGACCACAAGAAGATGCAGGTGGACATGCAGAAGGAGACCCGCGACCGCGTGAATCAAATTCAGACACAGATTGCGATCTTGCAGCGAGAGCTGACATTCTTGATGCCAGCCGAAGAGCCATGAACAACCCAAAAGTGAAGTCGAGTTATGACGATGAACAATTCTTGACGGAAGTTCACGACAGTATAGACACTCCTATCTCAAATTTCTATGCCCAGGAGTTATCTAATCTGGTGGAGAAAATTGAGCTTCAGTTAGAAGAATTGGCACACCACTCGGCTGACATCCGGACACGACATTCAGCACCACGATTCACCAATTCGAAGGAGAGATTGGACATCCTGGAGATTTATTGTTTCCCAGATTCCCAACTCACCCAGACTGCCCACCAGTTAGGCCTCAAGGCCAGAAGATTTACCCTCCAGGATGGTGATCTCAGAACCCCAGACGGCCAAGAACGGCTATGGCAGATCATGGAAACCCAGCGGCCCAGACACATTTGGGCATCACCTGACTGCAAACTCTGGGGCAACTTCGCCCGACGGAACATGGGAAGAAGCAAGCAACTGAGAACACGAATACTGGATGGTAGGAAACACGAAAGGCCCAACCTCAGTTTGTGTGAAGAGATCTATATGTACCAGGTCGAGAACGGTAGACATTTTCATCTTGAACAGCCTGTAGGGTCGGAGTTGTTGCTTCAACCAGAACTGGAACAGACTAGGTACGGGACCCTCCCAACGATTTTCGATATGTGTGAGGTTGGAAAACTGAACTGGAAAGGAGAACCTTTACAGAAAAGAACCATTGTTTTGACGACCTCCCGGATCATTCACGGTGCTTTGGACTGCCGGTATTGTTGCAAAACTCACGAACACAGGCAGATTGCAGGTCAGGTGAAGCACGGCGGGAGTTGGATCTCGCTGTCATCATTTGCAGCAAAATATACCGCAGGCTTTGCACGCACCGTGGTTCGAGCAATGCAGAGAGTTTCGAATGAAGCTCCATTGCTACAAGAAGAACTTCGAATTTCGTCTAGGGGAGAAACGGTAGACGAGGTGTTGGTTGGTGAGGCCATCAAACGAAGACGATTGATTTCGAAACAAACGGTGAGGAAAGCAGGAAACGAAGAAGATGAAGACAGGGATGACCACAGAAAACGAAACGAACAGGACCGATTGAAAGACCTTTTTGGGGAACTTGAGAAATTGGCGCCCAGGGTTGGTTCCGTTGTGATTGACTCTAAGAATCCCACTTTTCAGACGGCACAAGGCTTTTGTACTTTCAAGTTGGTTCATGCAGAGGCTTGTAGGGGAACTGAACGGTTGCGCATTCCCAAGGTTGGTACACCCCTGAAAGACTTGGAGGTTAGGAAGACTTACTCATTGAGTAGGAGTACGGGGGAAGTTGAACTTGTTGGAGAAGAAGAGGAATGGCAGCGTTTGACACAGAGACAACGTATAAGAAAAGGTATTCCCTCAAGGTTGACACTGACAATGTTCGGCACCAGAAACATGTCATGTTCGGTCTCGTCGTCCATGTCGTCGAATGGGATTGCAAACGAAGATGAGGACATGAGCATGGAACGGGAGAAACGAAAGACGGAAACTGGACCGGACACGGACCATGAGATAAAACCGAAACGATTGAAGGGTTTGGGAGATGACATGAACGACAAGGATGTAGGATCAGAGACAAACCAGCCTGTCCTTGAGAAAGATGAAGAAAGGGAATTGGAGATAGTGGGAAGGCCCCCTAGGAACATTGCCACACATGGTCCAGCCTTTTTGGGGTTGAAGGAAGAACAACAGAAGTGGTTGAGACAGGTACACCATAGACTGGGACATCCCGACCCCGATACTTTGACCCGCTATCTTCGTTCCACGAATGCAGAGCCAGAAATCATCGAGGGGGCGAGAGACTTTCAATGCGACGCCTGCTCGGAGTCTCGGAAAGGCTTTGATTTGCCACAAGCCGGAGCCATCCATGAGAACTTAGGATTTAACGACACAGTGGGGATGGATGGAGCGGTTTGGATGAACTCACAAGGGACTCACTTTTCCTTTACTCACCTGATTGATGAAGGGACTTTGTTTCAGGTTGCTCGACCATGTGGGGGAGACTCCAATTCACAATGGACCTTTTTGGAGGAACACTGGTTGGGTTGGGCAGGACCACCTAAGACAATTTATGTTGATCCCGCCAAAGAGTATTTGAGTGAGGCCTGGCTAGGGAAGATACAAGAATTAGGGATAACTATAAAGGTCTCAGCACGTGAATCTCATTGGCAGTTGGGAAGGGTTGAATCTCATGGAGCCATCATCAAAGGCATGTTGAGTAGGATGGATCTGGAAAAACCCATACTAGATGAAGAAGCTTTCCGGAGAGCATTGATCCAGGTTTGTCATGCTAAGAATTCTTTGACCCGGAAATCCGGGTATTCCCCGGAACAAGCTGTCCTAGGCTGTGCTACCCGTTTGCCCGGTTCGGTCACGTCGGATGAGAACGCACTAAGTCATGCTAGAGCATTGGATGAAGGGTCGAACAGTTTCAAAGAGGCTTTAGATTTGAGGGAGTCAGCTAGGAGAGCATTTGTGTCCATGGACAATTCCAACAGTCTTCGCAGAATCATGTTGCGCAGAAGCAGACCCATGAAGAACAACTTTGAGGTAGGGGATGTAGTACTATATTGGAAACGAAAAGGTGGTAATATGCGTAGGGAACGAGGTCAGTGGTTTGGTCCAGCTAGGGTGGCACTGGTTGAAAGGAAGGTGATCTGGTTGGTACATGCCCATCGCCTGATTCGTGCTAGTCCTCAGCAGTTGCGTGCCGCGTCACTCAGAGAGTGGAAGGCTGTGAAAGACACAGCCGAGTTTCAGGTTCCAGTGCCGGAATGGGCTAGGAAGATAGGCCATCAGGACATGTGTGACTTGGACCCAGAGGATCTCCCTGAACCTAGTGAACCCGATGTGAACCCACCAGAACTAGGGGCAACGGAAGGACCTGAAGAAACCCCGGACCCAGAACCTGAAGAAGAAATGTCGGTTCCCACACGGAGAGGATCCATGGATTTGGAAGAGGGAAAGGTCAGAGACGGTGTAGAGGTACCGGTCCCCGATGATGATGATGGGTTATTTGGAGATACGGTTTTGTTCAACGAGGGTGTAGTTCAAGACCATTGTTGGGAGATAGATGTTACTCCTGCCGGAGATCTTTCCGAAGCCTGGGATACGCCCGATGCCTTTGTCCTGGCCGCAGTTTCTGAAAGAAAGAAACGAACGGAAATAAAGTTGAAGGAACTGTCACAGGAAGACCAAAAACGGTTCGCTGTGGCCAAGCATAAGGAGTTGCGGGCATGGCTTCAGCATCGGACCATTCGAAAGGTGGCTCAGGGAAGAATTCCAGAGCACGCCATCATGAGATGTCGGTGGTTGTATGTCTGGAAAAATCCAACCGGAGAAGAACCACCCGAGGACTTGTCAGCGACCGGCAAGAAAGCGAAGGCTAGGTTGATTGTCATTGGTTGGGAGGATCCACAGTTGGATGAGGTGACCAACGACGCCCCTACTTTGTCCAAGGATGGTCGAATGACAGTCCTACAGGGAGTTGCTAGTCACCGGTGGCCACTGATATCTTTCGACGTCTCCACTGCCTTTTTACATGGCAAGGGTGATGGAAGGCCACTTGGACTAGTTCCGGTCCCAGAAATGCGTGAAGCTCTAGGAATGGGAGAGACCGACCAAGTCCAACTGGATGGTGGAGCATATGGTAGGATAGATGCCCCATATCTCTGGTTCTGTGAGTTTAGGGACGAGTTGATCAAGCAGGGTTGTAGACAGAATCCCTTAGATCCATGTGTCTTCACGTATCATTCAGCGAAAGGCTTGGAAGGTTGCCTAGGGATTCATGTAGATGATGGAATAGGTGGCGGAAGTCCGCTGTTCATGGAAATGTTGAAGAAGGTGGAGGCGCGGTTTAAGTTTGGGGCTTTCGAACAAGGGGAATTCACCTACACTGGAATTCACTTCAGACAGTGGGATGACGGTTCCATTGAGTATGATCAGATTCCCTATGTTGAGAAGATAAACCCTATCGTTTTGGGGAAGGGTAGACGGGATGACCCCGAGTCACTGATCACTGAAGGTGAACGAACCTCATTTCGAAGCCTTATTGGAGCCCTCCAATATGCAGCGGTTCATAGTCGTCCAGATTTAGCAGCCAAAGTTGGAGAATTACAGAGTGAGGTCACCAGGGCTAGAGTGAAGCATCTGATTCTTGGTAATCGTGTTTTAGCTGAGGCGAAGCAGAATCGAGTGTCTTTGATGATACTTCCGATAGAACCTCAGTATGTGACTCACTGTGCATTTTCCGACGCGTCATTTTCGTGCACCAAACATACCACGGCACAGCAAGGTACAATCATTTTCACGACCACACCAGAGCTCCTAGAGAACAAGAAGTCAGTAGTTGCTCCCATAGCCTGGTTTAGTAAGAAGATACCCCGTGTTGTGCGAAGTACACTTGGTGCAGAAGCGGCGGCATTGAGCAATTCGGCAGATCGATTGATGTGGGTTCGAGTCCTATGGTCGACACTACTAGATCCAGATTGCGACTGGAAGAGGCCAGAGAAGATGCTATCTAGTAGAAACCCAGGTGTACTAGTGACCGACTGCAAGTCTGCCTATGATCTATTAACGAGAACGGCAATTCCCCAGTGCTCGGAACACAGAACAACGATCGAATGCTTGTTGATTCGCGAAAGGCTTCAAAACAATGCCACGGTTCGCTGGGTTTGCTCTCAGGCTATGTTAGCTGACTGTCTAACTAAGACAATGGACAGTAGCATCCTCAGAGAGTGTTTGAAAACTGGAAGATACACACTCCGTGACGAAAGTCATGCTTTGAAGGAGCGGCTGACAGCAAGAGAGCGCTTGAAATGGATTAAGCAACACCGATCGGAAAACGATCGACCAAATGAAGCAGCCATGATGATGGAACAATCCGGCAAACAGATGCATGATGAAGATTTTTGGAAGCAAGGTCCGAATGGAGAGATTATTCGGGTGCACGTGAAACCACGTTACCAGCGGTTCTCACCTGTTGGGGTTGAGGGTTGTCCCGTAGATCTAAGAAAGTTAGAGACCTATAGGGATACATATCAACAGGGGTGTACAGGTGAACGTGACTATTGGGTGGGGACATGTGCACATCGAAGAACGATCTTTCCTTGGATCGGTGAGACAGTGTTCTTTGAAAAGAAAAAGTAAGATGAGTGTGAAGCTCGCAAGCTGTGTGATGACTGTCTCATGCGGTTCTCCTATGGTTCAATCCACCGAGAAGGGTGGGCGGGCGGACATCGTGATTACACGGAAAAGCGAGGGCGCTTCGTTAGGTGAACAGGGTTTTCACAGTAGATAGTGGTCTATCTCCAGTGTGAGATTAACAATATATATACACATATTTGATCATAGTTGTACAATCTCATCAGAAAACTCAACACCTAACTCAGCGCACAACCCATCACCCAGCGCGTCAAGTAAATGCAGACCAGGGCGTTCCCAAAAGACCTCCTACATACGACCCGTACCAGTACCAGCAAGATGTAGGACCTCGTAAGACGTCTTTGTCGCCGGGTTGTTTCGGTCCAACCTCCCACGGATGTTCGCTTCGTACGGAAACGCTCTGTCAGTTTTCGAGTTCAGGTCAGGCCCTGTGGTTTCTTGCTATCTAAGCGGTGTCGAAAACCGGCCAATCCTTTAGTCTAGGTGGAAAAAAAGGACGAAAACCAGTGTCCGGGTTCCCCCTCCTTTTGAACACCGCCAAAATGCCATCAGAGACCAACCGTACTCTTGAAAAGAGACGTTTTCGAAAAACGACAGACCCCGCCCACGGCCGGGGCCACGGTGGTCACCGTGGTGCCAGGTCACTCACTCTCATGGGACTTCTTCAGCGCCCGGTGCAGCTTCTCGTACCTGGCGGGCGGGGTCGCCCTCGAGGCGGTCGCCCGAAAGGTCGGTAGGAAGAGGTCCAAAGGGCGAAGCGGTTCGGATCCTTTGTTACTAGTAGTAAGGCACTTGTTACTAGCGATGCACTTGTTACGTTCGTAGCGTTCTTGTTACTAGTAAGGCCAGGAGCCCCTAGTAGCTTCTTGCTCCTACTAGTAAGGCACTTGTTTCTAGTAGCTTCTTGTAGCTTCTTGCTCCTAGTAATAAGGCCAGGAGCCCCTAGTAGCGTCCTTGCTCCTAGTAGCGATGCCAGGAGCCCCTAGTAGCGATGCCCTTGCTCCTACCTTGGATAAACCCCAAAGTCCACAAACAATATGCACCTCTCAGATAACATGCGAATCTGAAAGCTGGAGCGGAATCCGAAACGCACAGGCAAACAAACAATGATGATTACAGCGGTGCAAGTGTTGCCACTTCCTACAAGTACGCATTGGGCATCAGCACAATGTCACGAAGCTTCTCTCAGCAAATCAGCGCTATGATCCACCGCTGCCGGACCTCACAGAGGTTTTGAGCAAACGCAGGCAGTGTTCGAAACTCGGCCAGCATGCACCCTCATCGGCCAGTGATTTCTAGACCTCCTGGCATTGTGCGTCGCACCCAAGATAAAAAGCCGTACGGCCACACCTGTCGAACCAATCAAGCAGTTGCCTACTAAGCCATCAACAACAGCACATCCATCTTAGACCAAACCGTCGTGACGTCGCGGCGTCACGTCTCTTTGGACCGAAGGATCTCCCGCTCCCTGCGGAGCGTCGCTCCGAGGTCACTCGTTGCGGAAGTGCTCCAGGGACTTGTCCCCAACGAGCTCTTGAAGGATCTCCTGAAGAAAAGCACGGAGCAGGCACTCCATGGAGAGCTGACGTAGCTGGATGTACCAACAAAAAATCCAAAAAGAACTGCAAGTATACATAGGCAAACTCTCTTGAAGGAAGGATAAGAAGTGAAGGAGTCAGGGAACTGTATCCTTCTTTTTCATATCCTTTTCCTTCCAAAAATGTAGCCCGCACCCTGCCAAGAGCCGGCCCAAGCCCGATGGCCCAAGTTGACAGGGCCTTCCCGAAAGGCTTTGCACATGGAACCGACCAATTCACTCTTTAAGTCCGACTCCAAACACCGTCCATCGATCCTTCGGCCTCCCACGGAGAGTCCACCGACGCTCGCCTGAAAGTCCCGCTCGAGCTGCTCAAAGGCGGAGGCCTTGGGTGGAAACCGTTCCGGCGAAGACGGGACCGAGCGAAGACGTTCCAGAGCCGAACGGGAACTAGCCAAACAGCCATACGGAACCTCCCAGGAAGCCCAAAGAAGCGAAACTGAACGAGGTATCAAGACCCATAGACCTGCGGAGGTTGATGCAAAAAAAAACCTCAATGGTGCCAGTGACAATCCCAACGCCAGCCACGGCCAAAAGTAAGCCCCCACCCCAGCTAGCTAAGTGGCCAAGTGGTTGTGGCCAACGCTTCAGGTGCTCATTCAACTGCGGTGTTTTCCCATATGACAAATCGCAGTCGTTGACTTCTGTTAGCCTAACCGTTCGTTCCAAAACCATGCATCACCCCCGCTGCGAAGGGAACAAAGGACATTCCTACGAACGGAGCAAGAAGCTATGCAGCTAGCAACAAAGGGCACCGCTACGGCAAGCCTTCGTTCCATTCTCAGATGTTTTGCCAGATTCCACTGCCAAAACCTGGCACCGCCATGGCAACTGCCTGCCGCGACCACCCAACAGGACGCGCCCGGCCTCGAAATCCCCATCGGCCGAATCCTTGGCCGCCTCCGGTGGCAGATCGCGAGACATGCCACGTGAGACATGCCAACAGCGGATCACACAAACTCCAGGGTTCTATCACGGTTTGGAAACACTGGAGAGTTGAAAGTTTGAGACATGGTTGGGGAAACTAATCCACATGTGAATTTGTTCAAGACTCCAAACAAAGCCAAAACAAAATTCGGCATATGCAGGTCATTACTTGGGGCGGTTCGGGCGCACCTCTGCCTCTGCCATGACGGAAAGAGGGAGACAAAAAGGTTTGTGAGCAAAGGCTTGTTCGCTTGCGGTGTTGATTTCCCAAGCTTTTTGGCCTAGTGGAAGGTTTTTGGGGACCACCAATGTGGTTTTAAACACGGCACGCATTTTCGTTGGTCTGGATGACAACTTCATCGACCCCCGCAGGTCCTCCCTTTCACTTCCACGCGCTGAGCCAAGAATTGCCGGTGTTTTACCGGTGATTGGTGCGTTCCGACTTGATCCTCGCTGTGGGGAAGCTGAATACTTGTAGCCAACTCACAACCCAGCCCAAGAAAGTCCAAGGCACAACCAGCGATCTGTGTTTTGTGCAATAAACCAAACAATACAACTAAAACATTGCATGTGTTTATTGAATGTGATCCAAAGTGGACGCGCATGGTTGGTGTTGGTGAGGTTGCACCAAAAAGAATACTGACAAAAAATCAGCGGGTTTTGGGAGAACTGGTGGATTGAACCCTCGATCCAAACCACCCAAACGGCCAAAACAAACCTTGGCCGCCTTCGCCTCACATCCACAGTTACAATCCTTGTGCAAACTGGCCACAAGGAACCCTATTGAGTGCTCCAAAAAAAACAGGTAGCTCACGGGGCAACGCAACAACGCAAGGCTGCCACCCCAGAAGGTTTCGCAATCCGCAAAACGACAAATGTGTGGTGCAACATCTTCCCAATCATACAGGTGACTGGTTCGGGTCCATTCACCTGCGCGTCCTGGAGAGATTTGTGAAATGGCATATTTGGGAGTTGTGGCGTCAACTACCTATTCAAAACAAACAGATATCTATGTGTTGCATAGTTTTTTATGCGATTGCATTCTTACAAGCAAGAATACAAAGGAAGTACAATAAGAAAGAGCTAGGCCAGAGACAAAAGTGTTGATTGACCGGTATCCTTGCAGTATACGTGAAAAGCCATAACGTATTTTATACAAATTGTAGTTTCAATTCATTCTTACTTAAGCAGTTTTTCTTCCTTTCTTGGATACGTTGTTGATTGTAAATAAAGCCTTTGCAAAGCATAGGCTTCTTAGACACAAACCTCAAAAGTTGTGATACCTACAAAGGAACAACATGGAACAATCTTTTGTCATTCTTTCGTTTGGTCTCATGAGAGTTTACACAAGCAAAGGTGCGCCCTTTTCTTCACTGAGCTAACGGGGAGTCAGGTCCTGTTCTCAAGCCAAGGGTCTGGCTTGAAACTCGAAATGCGTAGTGCAATTGAATGCACTGGAATGGGCCGGTGGGCGCTTTTCGAGTAAGAACTAAAGGCGCCCACCCGCCCTCCCTTGAAAAGAATTTGCTGAGGCGCTCTATCGATGAGACCCGGAAGTTTCCTTCCTTAAACTTACGAATGACAACTCGATCAGTTTTCAACGAGTTTCCTCGTCATTCTTTCGTTTGGTCTCATGAGAGTTTACACAAGCAAAGGCGCTCCCTTTTTTTCACTGAGCTAACGGGGAGTCAGGTCTTGTTCTCTTCCCCCCTTTTCAAGACCTGATTCCTCGTTTTGACAAGGTTCGCATGAATCTGATCGAACAGTGCTTCAGCTTCCAGGCTCTTGCATTTTGCGGCTTCAAGCAAGACACGCACAAATCACCTTCCCTTGTGCTGCCTTTGCTTCTTTGTGACCAAACGTTGACCTGGACCTTCTCAGCTCGTTCTCCGAGCTCCGCTACCACGTGAACAACTAAATTGATTGCAAACGTTCTGAACACCAAAGCGAAAGCACGTGCAACAGCTCACAAGCAAAGGCACTCGCACCACTTTAACGCGCACCTTGAGCTCAAGCAAAATGAAGTGTCTTGCTTTCAAGCAATTCCCATGCGAGACACCAAAAATCTCAAGCTTAAACGCACTCAAACAAAAGCAACAAAGACTCCCATTCACAAAGATTCTAAACATTGTACATTCCATGAGCTAGCTCTCCAAAGCTCTCGAAACACTTGAAATGCAAAACCTCACAGCTACTGCTGCACAAAGCGCTCAAATATGAGGTAGACTGTGATTGTGGGACCTGTGGGTTGAGTGAGGGTCTGCTGCAGTGCTCTAAGTTGAACCGCTTGCCAGTTCCACCTTCTCGTTGATCCTGTGGCAATTGGCAGCTGAGTCTGTTGTTGCTGTTGCTGAACTTGATTCACCTTCTGTGGTCAATCTTTTGCCCAGTGATCAAATTGGCAACATTTGCGCAGCTGCCACTGCAGTTTCTGCGTGCAGTTTGCTGTGGTTCTTGATTTTCCCTCACCTCTTGCCTTTGCTCTTCTCACTCTTTCACTCTTTCCTTTGCAGCGTCCTTTGCCTCCAAACACACAAAAACGATGGCCTCCGCGGCATCACCTTGTGAGGGCAGGCCAAGACTCCGCGGCTTCAAGCACAAACGATGGCCTCCAAACGATGGCCCCGCGGCCACGCCTCCAAACTTCCAAAACAATGGCCTGCAGCCTCCATCACCTCACAAAAATTTTTCCAGCAGTTCTCAAATCTCGCTGGTTTTCCAAATTGTTTGCTCCTTCAGGCTGCAACGGTCACTGAGTTCCAGAAACTCTAAGCCTTGTGGTTCGTGGGTGTGAGCTGTTGTGAATTTTAGCATTGCGGCTTTCACTTCGAACACGAACAGAAGCAATCTGCGAGCGAGTGAAGAGACCAAAGAATTCCTGTAGTCAACAACAAAACACAAAAAAAAAAACAGAAAACACCCCAAACCAATAGGGGGTCGCTGCTCCAGTTTTTGTGGCCAGAAACGGACCCTCAAAAATGAAGCAACTCAACAAAAATTTGCTTCTCTTGGAACCATTTTAGTTTTCGAGTCCGTTTCTGGCCCGAAATTCTTGAATTTGCTGTTTGAATGCGTTTTGGTTTGGAAAGCATGAACGCAGTTTTTGCATTTTTTGCCGAAACGATTGAATGAAACTGTGTCGAGCGAATTGGAAAAACAGAAGCGCACGTGCAAGCGCCTCTTTTCTTGAGCCAAAGTCAACGACGCGGAATGTTCATCGCGTTTCGTCCTTTCGAAAACATGGAATGTCTAGGCGTTTGTTTGCTCGCACTCCCCCAATGATGGTTGACCATCATTCTTCAGGGCACTCAGCTGTTCGCTGTTCATGCCAACTTCTCAAAACTACCATCTGACTGTGAATTTTCTTCTAGCTTCACGACTGGTGTTGCGGGTCTTTGACCCACAGCAGTTGAGATTCCCATCCAGTCAGGCCACGTGTCAGCTTCAGCAGGATGGAGACCTTCACGAAGAGAATGCTCCCAAGCTTTTCTCAACTTCATCTAAGTGGGCCTCACCCCGAGCTCGATGTCCTTGGAGCCGCTCTGCATAGCCAGCGCTGGGGACACCTTCAGAGGAGGCAATGCCACGAGCAGTGATTGCCGAGCCATCATGGGCCACTTGAAAGTCCCTCTCTTCTCTCCCAATTGTAGCTCCACACTTCTTCCCCGCTCCAGAGCACGGGATTGAGTTGCTGTGTTCCCATAGCCCCGATCGGCCCGTGCGATCGTTTCCGGAGGAGGCTGCGGTCCTGGAGCCAATCCATGCACACACGGAGGACCAGTGGAACCGGCTCTGTGAATGGCTGTCTGGAGACCCCGTTTCGGAGGAAACTTGAACGCCACAAGCAGGCGCTCAAAGACCAACTGGGGGTCAGCCGAGACGACTCCGATAATCGCAATAAAGCCCGGCGTACGGCCCCTCCCCCAGGCGGGAGCAGCTCCTCATCGACAGCTCGTCCCCCCAATCGCAGCAAGCCTCCCCCGCCGCCTCCTCACACTGGGGTGGCAGCAAGGGACCCTCCGTAACAGCCGACGCACACAGGCACAACACCCCACTGGCCTGATTTTGTGACCTTGGTCATCTTTTTTATTTTACTGTAGGTGCTGCTTGCCACCGCTGTCCAGTTGCTACCACAATCTTCTGGCTCAAAGAAGTTGGGTGGGCATGCTCGGACTGTCGTCCACAGCGAAGATACCTGGTGACGATGGCAGGCACTGAGTGTATTCACAATAACTGCACACGCAGCACGGGATGCACAAGCGGCACAAGCTGCTGAGCTAGGCCAACCACCAGTGGTGCCCCCTGTCGCAGTGCACGCCAATTTGCCCACTGAATGGCCCCTAGCGCGCATCAGCGTCTATACGCGCCACATCAGTGTCCTCCTACGGGTTACGCTCAATAGAAGGCTTGCGGAATTAAGCTTCAGAGGAGTGGAGTTTCAACACTTGCCCCGAGAGATTATTAAGCACGCCAGAGAAGACTTCGACGCCATCTGTGGCGCCATGGCCGCCCAACTGGCTGCCCTGTTTGCGTTTCTCCGACCGAGCGAGGAAAAGCCACAGAAGATAGACCAAGCTGAGCTAGCCCTATACGCTGACCCGACTTACTGGCTGTATGGCCTTCTGTCCTTCTGTGCCAAGAGCTGCGAGGCGAAGACAGCAGAAGCAGGAGGAGAACCGGATTTCAGAACAAGCAAAGAAAGAAAACAAGACAGTTCGGCTCCGGCGTTAGAACCCACTCGCAACTCACTTGCACTGATGCAAACAGTCGTCATGTCTTTTGCGCGAGGCCTTTACCTTGGCAAACCTGAGCTCCCCATAGACCAAGGGGTAGGGAGCTATCAGGTTCAACAGCTAGTATCTTGATAACGGACACACCTGCTACTGCTGTAGGACAGGCTTCACAGACACCCGGTTGGGAGGGATAACACTCCGAAGTGGTAAAAGCACTGCAGAAGGAGGTAAAAGCAGTTCATAGGAGCCCCAGGCGGTATCCCAAGATGCTGTCGGAAGTATAGCAGAGAAGTTTGCCATAGGTAACTACTGTTAACTGTTTCCCTGAGTGCTGCCTATGACCCACCTGGCAGGCAAGGACACTACATGAGAGCTCTGCCCGCACGTCGGCTCAAGGCGCAGCCTGAAGGGTTGCAAGAGAGGGCTGCCAACGGCGGGACAGTCCCCCACAACCGTGCGCCAAGCTCAGCAGGCTGACTGGGAAGAAGACAGCTTACTTCGACTGTACCT